CCCCCCAAGATGCCCATGGAGCCCGGAGGTAGGCAGGGACCTGGCTGGGATTCGTCTCTGGAGGCAGGGAAAGGGGGTTCTGCTGCTCTCAGCTGGGGCCTAGGCCTGGTCCACAAGGCTGCAGAGGGATCCCCTGGGCATCTTTTTCTGCATCTGGCTCCTGCTTTGGCTCCTTTGTCCGTGGAGACCTAGGGGAAGAGAGCTCAGGAAAAGCCCTGGGCCTAGACCTGCTTTCCCAGGGAGGAGCACTGGTGAGGCCAGGGGCAGGGGGCTGACCATTTTTCCACGTCTTCGATAGTCTCTGGCAAGGGTTGATTGAGGGTCTCAGGCAGGAAGAGCGAAGCACCGCTTCCCAGGAGGGTGATGGTTCCAAAAATGAGATTGGGGATGAAGGGATGCAACTCCCCCGTGATTCTCACCAGCGGGGCCGTCATGCTTCCCATGCGAGTCAACACGTTACTTATGCCCATACCTGTTTGCCTGGGGGAGTTCAGATCAGGGATTGGCAACCTGTGTGTGGGGTTCTTAAAGGACAGCTCTGGGACCCCTGGGCAGGGACAGAGGATGTCACAATCCCACGTGAGCCTGGATCCTTTGGCTGGGCCAGGCCCAGGCCCAGGCCCAGCACCTACCGGATGACTGTGGGGTATAGCTCGCTCGTATAGAGGAAGAGGCAGCTGAAGGAGCTGGACAGGCATCCCTTCCCGAACACAGCCAGCACTGTCCTCAGGATCTGCAAGTCTGCAGAGGGAAGAACACAGGGTGAGCCTTGGGGCTTAGAAGCTCCTGAGTGTTCTACCTCCTCAGCAGAACTCGTCTCCCTTTTTGCTTTGGCTGCCAGGAAGCTCAGATCCAAACTTAAAGTCAAGTAATAGCTACTCTGCTATCCCTGGGGCTTTGCAGGTTTGTGCCCTGCTGTATTTGTGTTTTTCCCTGGCTCTGATTCCCTATTCTCATTTATATTTTGTTGTATATATTCTTGTCCTACAATATCTTTGGAAGGATATAGGTGCATCAATGCACAAACATCCATGTAAAATAAAAGTGGCTTTTCCCAGGTCATGGTGGAGTAGGTTGTGGGGTCTTCCATGAGCACTGGGCTCTATGTGTCTCCATCCCAGCTTGTTTTCTCCAGCAGTGCCACCCAGGCCATGCCCAGCCCTCAAGAAATCCTGCACACTGTCCAGACAGCACCATACTTCCCAGAGTCAGGCCTGGAAAGGACCTCTGATATCATCTAGCCCAACTGAGTTATTTCCTAGATGTGAGACCTGAACCCCAGAGAGCACAGGGCGGCACAGTGAATTAGAGACAGAATCAGCAGAACTGGAGCCCTGGGCACCCCACTTCCCAGCCCATGGCAGCCTGTGATGCTCACGGACACACCGGCCTGCATGGGTTGGCCTCTTTCAGAGGATTCTGGGGTAGTTCCCGCTTCTCACCTGAGGGCACAAAGATGAGAGCCAGGATGGCCCCCCCTGCCAGGAGGAGGGCAGCAACCTCGGTGGTGTGCCGGCCCAGATAGCTCATGGACAAGATGGTGAGGAACTTGGCTGGGATGTCGACCCCACCGAAGATGACCTGGAGGAGGTAGAGGTTGACTCCAAACTCTTCCACACCCATAGCCAAACTGTAGTAGGCAAAGCCGGTGGAAAACCTGAGGGGCAGGGAGGAATGGATTAGCACCAACCACAGGCTGGGGCCTGTCCACACATTGGTCATTGGATCACCATGGTGATGAATAGTTTCGTTTATGTCCCAGCTGCAGCTGATGGGTAGGGGCTGCTCGGGTGCTGTTTTGAGAGATTGTGTTTGAGCCCAGTGAGAAAGTGCTGGGTTCGGTTGGTTATGTCTAACACCTGCACGGTCTAGGATGTGGTGGCAAAGATGCTACATAATTGACTCCAGAGACTATCAGGGCTGGAGGACTCTCGGAGGCCAAAGGAGGCAGTGAATGGTCTCTCTTGGTTGGGAAATAGTTTAACATCCAGAACGGGGGAGGTGAGAGCTGAGTTGTGCACACAGATCCCGTGCCTCCCCTCCCCTCCCCTTCCCAGAAGTGTGGGGTCACTTTTGAAGAGTTCATGGACAAACTGAATCTTGTTTAACAATGGCCAGGATGGAGAAGGGGCTCCGAACCAGGGCATGGGAAGGGCTTTGAAGGAGCCGTGGAATGTCCGACAGAAGAGAAGACTCAGGAGAAATCCAATCTCTGTCCTCAAGTCTGAAGCCCTGAGGGCTGGCCTTGCTCTGTGCGGTCTCTGAGACCCCTCTGTGGGGGGCGGTGACAGGGAGGCATGGCCCCGGGAAACTGCCTGCAGGGATGTGAACTGCCCAAGGGGTTTGGAGCATTCGCCCTGTGGGTGGGGGTGCGGCCCCAGAGGAAAGCAGACGCTGATGGCTGGACCTGGGCGTAGGGCAGGGACGCAGCAGATTTCTGGGGTTGGGGCTGGGCTGGGGCAGCCCAGGGGAGGGGATCTCTTAAGTCCTCTTGCAGGTGCCCTAGGCTTTGCTCACCTGAAAGGTGAACCTGCTGGAGGTGCTAGGGTGCAGACGGGGAGGGGTGGTGGGTTACCAGGCCAGGGAAAGGCAGAAGGTCACACGGCGCAGGATGGGTGTCCGGAACAGGTCAGCTATGCTGTACTTGGCCTTGGCCAAAGAGATCTCCTTCTGCAGGTCGAGTTTGAGCTCCTTGGGGCAGAGGAAGGGGAGGGGTGCCATTAGGGAGCAGCTGGCAGGCAGGAGGAAGACAGGAAGCTGCAGGCCTGGTGCCTCAAGAGGAGCTTGCTTAGAGTGCCAGATGGGGGGCCGGCTTGTGGGCAGGGGACACAGAGGAGAGGAGGGCACAGCCCAAGAGCTGAGCCCAGTTTCCTGCCCAGACTATACTTCCTCTCGGCCTACCTCCAGGCTGAGCTTTTCTCCCTCCTCCTTCTTGCCGTTGAAGGCAGCCACCCACCGGAGGATCTTCAGGGCCTTCAAGGACTTTCCAGACAGGACCATCCAGCGTATGGACTCTGGTATCCACCTGTGGGCCAAGATCAAATCACATGGCCACCCCGTGCCAGAAGACCTTTGACAGGCTAGAAGATATCCAGCCAAGGCCAAGGGGTAGGAGGCCCAGAGGCCCGAGCTGCCTTACAATGGATTTCATGGAATTTAAAGACTTGGCCAAGCCTTGCGCCTGGGCTGCCTGCCGCCAGCACAAATTCCAGTGTTGCCTTCCCCTTCCAGGAGAGCCTCTCTTCTGCCCCCCACCTTGGCTGCTTGTTATCACTGGGTGTCTTCCTTAGCTAGGAGCCCTGGGCCCTAGACCAGGCAGGCGGGGCCCGGGAAGGGGGTGGCATGTGTGCGGCTGGCCAGCCGGAGGGTCTGCATGTCTACCTCCCCAGCCTTCCGCGGGCTGAATTCCAGGTCCTGGGTGAAGGAGCAGCTTGGAAAGGGGCTAAGGTTAGGGCTGCGGTCTAGGGAATGGGTGTGCAGGCCCTTGGATTCTCCCTGCAAAGGACTGACTCTGCTGGGGGTGGGGTGAGCACAGCATGGGGTCCTGGGGTGGGCTGGTGGGTAGCCATCCTCACTCTCCCTCGCCTCTGGGCTGTGCTTTGGGGTCAGTGCTCCCTGAGCAGTCCCTGAGGGTCACTAGATGTGGGGAGAAAGGAGTGACATTTGGAGAAATCTGGTCTGAGTTGAAATCAACTCCAGCTGTAGCCCCCTGGCTCCAGCAAGGCCCTTGGGGGAGTGGACATTGGTCACCTGGCTTCGGACCACTGGGTTCAGCTGATAGTAGTGGCTCTCTGCTCCTGGCCTTTTGGTCTCTGGTTCTGCCTCAACAGTTTTCTCAGCCTGTTCTCAGCAAGGTTATGAGCGACTCCCTTCCAGTCACCAGTCAGGGCCTGAACTCCAGCCTCCCCTCACTGAGAATAATGGCTTCCAGCTAGTGAACCTTCCTGCACCAGGCCCGTGTAACTCTGGGTGACAGGCGTTATCACCTTCATTTTGCTTAGAAGAACCTTGAGGCTCGGAGTGAGGCTTGTTCCAAGTCATGCAACGAAGGGGCCCAGGCTCTCAACTGCACCCTAGTGGTCCTGCCATCATTTCAACTCTTTGCTCCCCTTCTGCTCCTGTCCCAGGCTGTGGGCATTTCCTGGCTCCACTTTGAACCCTCTGACTGTCTCTCTCACCCCAAGATTGCCTATCCTCTCTAGAAGCTTCTATTTCTCACTTTCAAATGGAGGTTCCATCCCAGTTCTGTATCTTTTTGTGAAACCTCAGGGGATTGCTTCACTTCTCTGAGCCTCAGTTTCCTCATCCGTGAAATGGGAACAAATGCCACCTTCACACACAGATGCTGTGAGGATCAGAGACAATATAGGTTGATGCCCAGAACAGGGTCTTGCACATAGTAAGGGTTTAGTAAAGGGTCGCTCCAAGACTTTGTTTCTTTTCCTGAGTTTTATTATTTCCTGTTCATTAGCTCCAACTACCTTCTGGAGATTCATTTCCTGTCTTCACTGTGTCCTCAGGTTAGACTTGTTAACGAGCTCTTGCCCGGCCAGGCGTGGCTCAGCGGTTCAGCACAGATCTAGCATCCAGGAGATCGCAGTTCCATTCCTGGGCCAGGGCACATGCCCGGGTTTCAGGCTCGAGCCCCGGTGGGAGGCATGCAGTAGGCGGCTGATCAATGACTCTCTCATCATTGATGTTTCTATCTCTCTCTCTCTCTTCCTTCCTCTCTCTGAAATCAATAAGGAGTGTGTTTAAAAAACAACAACAAAAAAATGAGCTCTTGACCTGCTTAGGGTCTCTGACCCAGGCCCCTTGATTCTCCCAGGTTCTCAGGATTAGAGCTTTCCTCTCCTTGGTACCTCAGATCCAGAAGCCCTCCAACTGTGTGAATTTTTCCTTCAAAATGCCTCTCAAACTTGTCCCCTGAATCCTCCTGCCAATACAGTTCCCTCCCCTCTGTCCCTTGTCCCCACCCACTTGTGCTATTATTTCACAAACGGAAGCTGGTCAGGCCTCTCAGCGCCACAGGCCCCTGCAGTGGTTGTCTCCAGCCCTCCACACGAGGCCTCCTGGGTTCCCGTGTCCTCTGCAGCTGGCCTCGTCCTGTCCACCTCAACTTACCCCTTCTCCCGCTGTGACAGACACCGGCTCCCTACCGCACCACGCCCTCTTATAGGCAATTCCTCCTCCCAGGAGCCCCCTCCCGGGTCTGGGACAGGGAAGTCCCGGGACAGAGCTGGCCGGCCTGGTCGGGCCTGGGCTTCCCCTGTTTGGCTCTGGTTGGCCTAAGGAGGGGTGGCAAGGGGAGAGGGCCACATACCAGGACAACAGGAAGAAGGCGAAGAAGGGAACGGACACGGTTAACTGTAGCCAGCGCCACTGGGGGATGATGTAGGCCAGGCCGGGCAGAATGAACTGGCCAAAAGTGTAGAAGTAGCCGAGCCCAACCGTCATGATGGCCCGCAGCTGGGTGGACATCCATTCAACATCTGCAGGAGGAGCCAGAGGACCAGGTTTGGGTCCTTCTGGGCCCTGGGCACCTCCCTGGGGAGGGGCGCCAGCTCCTACCCATCACTGGTTACTTGATCTGACTCTGACTCTAAGGGTTCATCCACCCATTTTACAGATGCTGTGACTGAGGCTCAAGAAGGTAGGACTCAAACTGAGGTCTGACTGATTCCCCAGCCCGTGCTCTTCACTGTTTCTCCAGTGGCAAGTGACGTCCCTTGTTTTGCCTCAGTTTCCCTGTCTGTAGGATGGGGATAATAGTATCACCTATTTCTGTGTGTGGGCTGAATGAGATCATGTACCTGGCAGAGTGCCAGGCCTGGGGTACATGCTCAGTATCCACAGCTGCTGCTATTGTACGTGTTGCTGTCATGTTCAGAAGGGGCTTCCGAGGTCCTCAGAGGGGCAACACCTTGCTTCACCAAGGCCACCGGGGCCCGTGGTTGAGCGAGGCCCAGACCCTACTCTCCTGGCTTCAGGCTGGTGCTCCCCTGCCCCCTTCCCCTGTGGCTCACTCAGGATCACGGTGCTCAGGGTGACACCTGCTATGCTGAAGCCACACAGGAAGCGCAAGACCATGTAGATGGCCAAGGTGGGGCTGAAGGCTGCGCCTGAGCCGCTGGCGGCCAGCAGCAGGTAGCTGCAGGACAGGATGGGCTTTCGGCCAAACCTGCAGCTCAAAGGAGAGGAGGGGCCGGTTAGCCACCGGAGCCAGCCAAGGCGAGTGACACAGGCCCGGAGCAAAGGGCTGGTGTCCCCCCTCCCAGAGTGCCGGGCAGGGCTTGTAACTTCTTCCCCAGACAGAGCCTTGCTTATAATTGCTGGTTTTTTGAACAGGTTTGCAATTAAAGGTTTTAGTTAATGAGTGATCTCCTCCACATCCAGCTTAGCTGCCTGAGCAGGGGTCAGAGGGTCAGCCCATCTCTAAGCAGTCCACCCACCCCACCTCCACTGCCACTCAGACACTGTGCTGGGTCCACAGACCCGGTGGTTTCCCCACTGGGTCTGGGAGGCTGGAAGACTCAAGTCTCCAGGGCTTTGGGTCAGACAGAAGGCTGTGGCCCAGAGAAGGATTGGGACTTGCCCAAGGCTGCACAGCAAGTATCCCCCCGCCCCCAGTTCTTTGTCTCTTTGGGGGTTCATGGGTGGAGCAGAGAGGGGCAGGATAGTCGCCATGGGTTGTGCCCCCCCCTTGGGAGGCCCCAGTGTCTCACCTGTCAGACAGGCCCCCCAGCACAATCCCGCCGATCAGCGTGCCTGCCATGAACACAGACTGGGCCATCTCCTTCAGCTTGTTAGAGTCGCACACAAGGTCCCACTGCACGGGAGAGAGGAAGCACCAGTGTGGCTCAGTGCCCATCTGCCCTCCCAGCCGCGCTCGGCCTGTGCCCCGCTGCCTGCTCGCTCTCCAGCGCCCCCGCCTGACTGCCCTGAGCCTGGCCCCAAATTCCCTTTTAGCCCCGGGGCTCCTTAGGCCTGCCCGTGGCTCTTTGGGTCCCCGACCTTTGTATTTGTAATGACAGTATCCCTCTAGCATGTGTGGCCTGTCTTACGACTTACAAAGTCTGCTCGGCTGTCACATCCAGGCCTGTCCTCAGCTTGCCTGCATCCCCATGGCTCCGGCTTGTCCCCGCACATGTCCAAGGTCAGTTCCTTTGCTGTACCCTCGACCTCACCCTCTCTTCTCCATGGAGACAGCCCTCCATGAGGCCACGGCGCTCCGTCCCATACCCTCACTCTCTCTCGCTCGCTCCTGACCCCCGTTGTCAGCATTTGCGTGTGCTCAGACCTCTCCACTTTTAGTTTCTTTCCCCTCCATGTCTGCCCCATTGCTCCCTTCCGTTTAAGGCCAAATCCCTCGTACCAGGCTCTACACTTGCTGTCCTTCCTGCCCTCAGCTCCCGTTTCTCCCTCAATTCCTCCTCTGCCACCCCAGTAAACTGTGCTCCCAAAGCCACCGACATGTCTTTTCCACCAAGTCAACGGAACTGGCTGTGTCCTGACCGGACATGGCCTTCGTAGCCCTTGACACTGCCGACCTCTCCCTCGGCCTGCTTTCCCTCCTCTTCCTCTGTGGCCCCTTCCTCTCCCCCCGCGACTTTCCCCAGCCCCAGGATCTTCCTCTTTCTTTCCCCACTTTCCCCAGGAAATGCCATCGGCTCCTATGGCTTCAGTTCCTATTGTATGATGAAGACTCCAAGTCCACATCTTCAGCACAAACTTTCTTCCGACCTTGACCAGGAGACTCAGCTGCCGCCTTGAAATCTCTGCCCGGATGAAGGATGTCTCTCGGGCATCTCAGAGGCGACTTGTCACCCCCCTGCCTGAAGGTCTCAATCTCAGTGACTGGTGACCCTCTTTTAATTCCTTCCTCACCCACTTCATAATCACTTCATAATCACTCTGGTATCTAACTTTTTAGTATTTCTTGAACCTGTATCCTTCTATTTGCATGACTACTATCTCAGTGCAGGTCTCAGTGTCTTGCACTTGGATTAAGAGCAATAGTCGATATTTATTGAGGGTTTACTATGTACCAGGCACTTTCCAGGCCTCCACTCCTTCAATCCCAACAGCAACCTTATGATGTTGCACTGTCACCCCAAATTTGCAGATGGGGAAACCGAGACCCAGAAAGGATCACCACAACTGTCTCCTGACAGGTCTCCCAGCCTTCTAACCCAGTCCCTCCTGCCCACTGTCCCCCTGATAATCTCAACGACTTTCTAAAACGCCTGTCAGATCAGGTTCCTGTCTTGCCTCCAGCACTCACTGGCTTCCTCTTGTCCCTTTGGGTAACGAGAAAGCTCTGTTAACCCAGATCTATAAAGCCCTCATTCCCTGACCCCTGCCCACCCATCTGGCCTAATCTCTTGCTAATCCCCAACATGCACCCTTTGTCCATTGCTTGCGTAATGAAGTGGAGAATTCAATTCATTAGAAATGCCCCACAAGAATGTTTTGGAAGTAAAACAGTGTAGAGGAATAACCACGTTTTCCTCTGCTGGAGGGAAGGAAATATGGGGCCGCATGGATAAGACTGAGGACCTCCTGCTGTCTCAGAGGGGCCCAGCATGGCTGGCGAACCCCCTGGGCTTTCCTGGCTGGAAAGGGAGCCTGTGTGCGATGCCCGTGGGATGGGAGAGGGAGGAAGGTAAAGGAGGAAGTGAGGGGCTCTGAGAAAAGTACACCAGTGGGTGTCTAGAGAGACTTCTGGTACTTCGTGGCCTGCCGGGTAAGGCATGCTTTCCCCTTCCCGTGGGTGGGAATGGTGACAACTAGAGCAACTCTGGGAGCCATGTGTTGAAGATGGCAGAGCTGCTGGGTCCTTGAATGACCTCATGGAGCAGAGTCACCCATGAGCCCGAAATGCTCATCTTAGAATTCTTGCACAAGGAAGAGAAACCCTTCTATGGCTTTTATGCCACCGAATTATTGTTTTGTTATGGCAACATAGCCTCTCCTGATACATCCCACAGGGTGGAAATTCCCAAAGGAGATTTGGTCCCCCCAAGCTCCATGTTATTTGGTGCTTTAAGAAATCATCCTGTTTGGACTGTGAGCAGGTCAATGTCGGGCATGCTTGCATTAGCTTAAGGCTGTTGCCCTGCTCCACTGTCAGAGACCAGCTCTGCTGGACCTTGGTTTCGGCCACGGCCCTGGTGATGATGGAGGCTTTAGAATACCTGCTGCAAGCCAGTTTCTTCCATAAAGTTACAAAGTCCTGGTTGGACTTTGAGTCACGTTTAAAACATGTCACAGTGCCTGTGAGTCCCTGCAGAATCTGCTCTCATCTCTACCCTCATTACCTCTCTGCTCTTCTTTCCGCTGTGGTCTCCCCACTTCTTCATTCCAGGTGCGTCGGCCTCCTTGCTGTCCCTGGTGTGTAGTAGTCTCTTGGTCTGGAATGTTCTCCCCACCAGATAGCCCCCGGTTTGCTCCTTCCCCACCTTTAAATCTTCGCTCAGATGTTCTCAGCGAGAACTTCCTCGACCATATTTGAAATTGTAACCTCCACAGTGCATTCCCCTAGACCTGACTTTATTTTCTCTAGAGCATGTATACATCAGACATATCGCATATTTTCCAGTTTTTTTTGTTTCTCTCCCAAGAATGTTATCTTGATGAAGCGAGGCTCAGCCTGTTTTTGTTTACTGTGTTACTTCTATTGCCTAGATCAGTGCCCGGCACCTAGTAGTCACTCAGTAAATACTGGTGGGTTTGAATGAGTGAACGTTCCACAGAAAGAGCAGGGGATGGAGAGCCTTAGAGACTCAGAGGGGTGCTGATGTCTAGACGAGAGATCACAGGGCCCCCTCCAAATGCTCGGTGGAGGGCTGCCTCACTTCAGCAGAATGAGTGTCAGGGAGGAGTGTCCAGCTGTGTCTATCAAACCCACCACCACGTTAGCAAGGAGAACCCAAAACACTTCACAGTCAGACTGGGGAATCTTCTCTGGGAAATCGTCTACTGGGGACGGTAAAATGAGGCTTTGAAGCTCAGGAGGAGGAATACTTCGTGGTTAAATATTAAGACCCTTGGCCTTAATTGCACTCTAAGTTGCTTTTAGAGATGTCACAGTTAGTGAAGCTCATCAGGACCGAGGATAACCATCTGACCGGCGCAGCCCTGAGATCAGCACAAACGCGCGGCGTGCGGAGTGGGATGTGCAGCTGGGATGGGGGAGACGGTGTCCCTTCGAGAGACAGGCTGAGGTCCTCACCCCCAGTGCCCCAGAATGTGACCTTATCTGAAAATAGGGTTGTTGCCGATGTAATTAGTTAAGTGAGGTCACACTGGGTCGGATGGACCCTCAGTCTAATATGACTGGTGTTCTTGTGAGAAGAGAGGAGACTGACACACGGAGAACACCACGTGCCAGGGGAGGCAGAGGCTGGACCGATGCATCTATAAGCCAAGGATGCCGAGGATCGTGAGCAACCATCAGAAGCTGGGAGAGGGAGGAAGGGCCTCTCCCCAGAGCCTCGGGAGAGAACAAGCCTGCGCCTGGATTTCTGACCTCTGGCCCCCAGGCGCTGAGGTGCTGTAGCTCTGTCCCACTAGCCACCCGGTTTGTGGAGCTATTGTGTTTCCCTTTGCTGCTGCACTTGCTGTCGTTTCCTTATTCCAGCAATGTTGCCAGTCCTTCTAAACTCATGTCAAGAGCATCTTCTCTGAGCACCAGGGACACCTTTTCTGGGTCCCTGGCACAAGCAGGTGGTCAGCAGATATTTGTGAAATGGGTAAGTGGCCGAGAAACACGTCCGGATGCTCCCTGTCGCTCCTCATTTCTCCATCCACAGTCAGCATCCTCTCTTCCCTCCAAGGGGACACACATTACACAACATTTTAGCTGCTGATTTACTTCCCCTCTGGTACTCTGTAACCTCACTGTGGGCAGAGACGTCGCCTTGACTCTTTCTCCCTAACGGCCAACAGAATAGTTGGTACACGGTCAATGTTAATGTTTGTTCAGTGAATAATTAATGAGTGAACAGGGCTGGGGTTTCTATTCATATTTTACTAATGAGGCCCAGAGAGGAAAAAATAACTTGCTGGTTGGAGGGAGCTTCCCGGAGCTTCCATCTAGCCCTTGGCATGGCCTGGGCTGACCTCTGCCCCTCTACATAGAGTTCTAGCTCCCAATATCCTAGTCCAATGTTCTTGGCCTTCTCTTTCCTTTCTTGGAGTGTTTACTGAGTCTATAGGAAGCTGGCTCTGGAAGGGGAGGAGAGGAAGCCCAGTGCCACATCCTCCTGAGAGAGCTGATGCCCCAGGAGGGTGGTAGGGGAGGCTGGTAGGGTCTATGATGCTCAGGAGCAAGCTTTGCCAATGATGCTGTAATAACCTAATGGAGTCGGTATTATTACCTCCATTTTACAGACAAAGAAACTGAGGTGCAGAGAGCAGATAATTTGCCTAAGCATAGCTCAGTTCGTTTTAAGGCAGAGACTCAAACTCAGGTCTGCTGGACCCCAACTAATGCTCTTGACCACGGGTTCCCAAGGCCTCACTGTGCTTAGCTCTGAGCTCTGGGCTGCGGGAGGGAAGGCTCAGTACATGAGAGCTGTTGCTGTGAGCACTGTCAGATATGTAGCCCAGGATGGGCCAGAATCGTGGTTGAGGAGGCAGCCAGGGCCAAACCCAGGTGGGCTGGTCTCATATCAGGTCCAGAAGATGAAGGATGGGCTTAGGAGCTGAAGCAGCAGCAAGAACAGAGGCCAGGAGGCCCCTCAGAGGGAAAGCAGAAGGTGGACCATCAAAGGTCAGGGTGAGCCATTCGTGATCAAGGCCAAGATCAGCAGGATGGGGCCCGGC